ACCCCCAGAGCAGGCAAGATGCAGGCCAGAACTGCTGCAGGAACACAGGGTCCCATCAGCTTCTATTTCTTCTGCTATTTTATCTCCCAAGGGCTGGTTTGGAGGCTGCAAATGGGCTTCTTGAGTACCAGGGAGATGACAATGGCAGGGAGGGGTGTTTTCCACGTGTTCCACACGTCCGTTCTCCCAGGCACACCCCTATTGTGGGGGGCACTCTGATGCACGGCAGGATGTTGACCCGCATACCTGGCCCCCACCCACTAGATGCCTCCCATGAGTCAGGACAACCAAAAATGGCCCCAGACATGGCCACATGTTCCCCGGAGGATAGGATTGCCCTGGGTGAACATCAGGGCGCTAGAGAGATGGAGAGCAGGACCTAGAAATTACACCTCCACCCTTGGAGCAGGTTAGGGTGGATTTTTAACTTCTTGCCTTTCCTGGCTCCACACGGGTGGAGCGTTAGTTCCTTCTTCCTCATTCCTGCCTTGTGTAGAGCCCTGGGTGTCTGCTGCTGGTGCGGCGGTCAAGAGAGTGCGGTTTTGAACTGTTTGTCCATCGAAGGCGCTCCAGCCGGCTTTCTGACACACAACCTGTCTTTGGCTGAGGCTGGCATGGGCTTTGCAAGAGCAAAATGCACTGACAACTTCTGGTCTTGAAGTGCTTCTAAGCAGCAGGTGATTTCCTGGTCGGCTGACTTCCCCTGCTCCTCTGGGGGTTGAGTTCGGTTGTCTGCAGGGGGCCTGCTGGAGGGCCTGGATCAAGCGAGCCCTTTCTCAGGCATCCGATTCAAGGAGTTGGTGAGTCGGCAGAAAGAAGGGTGAGCTCTAGAACCGTCCATAGACGGACACAAGGGAGCGGCTGCTTTCGTGCTGCAGGGGCGAGCTGGAGTATTCTGCAGCAGGATCGATCCCAAAGGTGAAAATATTTGCCGTGGGGCTCTTGACAGAAACGGTTGCTGGCCCGTGAACTAACTTACTCTGCAGCAAGGAAGACTCAAGAAGACTTACCCCGGCCCGCAGATCAATAAGCCCTTACCAGGATGACCTTGAAAGAGGGGGGTTCCGACAGGGACTGATCTCCTGAAGGCCACTTGACAATCACAGAAGATTTTGCACAAATAATAGGAATAACGGGTAGCATTACATCACTGGGCACTTACACTGCCCCGAACACCCTGTGCGTTCAGCGGATTCCTCATAGCCCTCACCACTGTGCTTCCCCTTCGACAGGTGAGGGAATAGAGGCCCAAAGCAGTTGAGCTTTTGCCCACAGTCACACAGGCCGCATTCCAGCTCAGCCCTGGTCACCAATCCACTGTCACATCACGCCATTCAATTTTTAATAATAATAAAATAATCTTTTAATTTTTTTAGTTCTACCAAAACCAAAATTTTATATTTTAAAAGAAAATAAATACCTCAATTAAAAAAAAAAAAGACATGGAGAAAAAAAATTTAATTACAGCTGCATGAAGAGCAGAAGTTTAATATGTCAAAACATTTTGTTCTTTGATGTGCTTTATCGTCAATATTTGGGGGAAATTTTTAAGGTTTTTTCCACCAAAATGGTATTAA